ACACACACACACACACACACACACACACACACACACACACACACACACACACACACACACACACACACACACACACGCACACACACACACACACATACAAGAAGTGTAAATAAGTGTAAAAATATTGGAGTCAATTATATTTGACGAATATTTGCACGCATGTCTTTTATACATATCTAACAATAAAATAACATTGCATTGTAAGTTTCTAAGTTTTTATTATACTTTACTGCTTTAAATTTTCCCGTTTCTCTGGCTCATCCTGTATTATATGTAAACATATACTGTTATGTTTATATCTACATATTCCAGATGGAGTCAAACGTAAATTATACTTTCTCGTACTCAAGAAATATGTAAACACTTAGGTATATAATTGACGGGCATATACACTGTGTTATCTTTCTACTTGTGTTAAATGTAAATCAGTTGATACTTAATTTTTCAAATTTTTGGAAGGTGGGGCTTTCGGTACCCTCCATCAATAAATTAAAACAAATATAACTTGTTAACAGGCGAAAGCGACTAAGCCGATAAATTTCTGATTTTTCAACACAAATACAAATGTGATGGAAGCATATATTGTATTTCCACCATCCATATCTGTTTGTTCGAATACGCTTCAACAAATTTATATCTTCAAACAATAATGCAATGTTATTTTAGATATATATATATATGTATATATATATATGTGTGTGTGTGTGTGTGTATATAAAAGACATGTGTGCAAATATTCGTCAAATATAATTGACTCCAATATTTTTACACTTATTTACACTTCTTTTGTGTGTGTGTTTTGCATAGATAATTAAACAGTCTTCTTGCATAAAAATCGACAAATAGGAAATTTTCTAACATAATTGTAACACGTGTAAAGAAATTGTTTAATTATGTGCACTTTCCAAGTCGGTGCAACTTTCAATGAAAAACGTCGTAGAACACGCTTCTTGCGCGAATTTTAGTAACTTAGCTACGCCGGGCTTAAATATTGTTCAATTACTTAGCATGGAAAATATCCGATTTTTAGATATATGTATATATATATATATCTAAAATAACGTTGCATTATATTGTTTAAAAATATAAATTTGTTAAAGTGTATTCGAACAAACAGAAATGGATGAAGAAAATACAATATGTGCTTCCATCACATCTGCATTACATTGCATTGTGTTAAAAAATCAGAAATTCATCGGCTTTATTAGTGGAGGTACTGAAAGCCTTTCAAAACTTGAACAAGAATTTCAAGAATTAAACATTAACATTAAACAAAAAAGAAAGAACATTGTAAGTTGCGTGAATGAACACATATGTTTTCGTCAAATATACATATACCTAAGTGTTCACATGTTTTTTAAGTACGAGAAAGTATTTACGTCTGATTCCATCTAGAATATGTAATTTAAGTATAACAGTATATGTATACCTAACGGAAGGGGGGCAAATAGTGACAGGGGGCAAATAGTGTCATTTTAAATTTCTCCTCTTTTCCGCGTCTATTTTACCACTATTCGTTAATAGAAAGATAGTTCTCAAGCATCTAATCATCTTCTGAAAAAGCCGTAAAAATCAAAAACCAAATAATATAGCCAGCGGAGAAGTTTAAAATTTTGCATTCGTAAAATAAGGTAAAACCTAGATCTTTTTTTGATATTTGAAGTTATATTTTCTTAATTGCTGAATCATTGAATGAGATCTAACCTATTCTACGAGTATGTTACATAGTACTTTTTTTCTATTTTGATATAATTCCTATGCTTGTATATTAATTTTATTTCTCTCAGTAAAGTTTTAAATGAAAAAATAGCTCCTGGGGCAAATAATGACAATTTTTAGTTGGTTAAATAATGACAAGTCAAAAAGCTTATTTAATATTTGAATATGATTTTTCTAATTCATTTGGAATAATATGAGATTAGCTACAAGGCAAGATCCAGAATAAATGTAATTTTCAATAAGAAATACTAGTAAATAATGTTATTAGTATTATTTATCAATAAATAAAAATTTACATATGGTAGAGTATAGAAATTAATATCAATTACCTTATTGAATCTCTAATTAAAAAATATCAAAAAGAAAGATCGATTATAGGAGCTAAGAATTATGTATTTTATAATTATCCCATAGGGTCACTATTTACTCATAGGGTGGGGCAAATAGTGACAAATGTAGGTTTTAGTTTTTATGAAAATCTAGCCCGTATACATATGTAACTTATGGAAATTCTAATTAAGTTTTTTGTATTTTTGAAAGTGGAAAGTACTCTTTTAGTGAAAAATCATATCTTGTAAACTTAAAATTACCTTGTAGGGGAGAGAGGAAAAAATCCGTCATTATTTGCCCCCCCCCCTTCCCTTACATATAATACAGAGTGAGCCAGAGAAACGAGAAAATTTAAAGCAGTAAGGTATAATAAAAACTTAGAAACTTTATGTATGTATGTAGTCATTGTTGTCAATATATACCTATATACAATATTTATATATATCTATATGTGATACGCGCGCGCGCGCGTGTGTGTGTTTGTGTGTGTGTGTGTGTGTAAAACATAAAAAATTACTTATATAATTGGCGGAAACATATATGCTCATCTAGTGATTGTGATCTAATTTTTGAAAGATGGGGCTTTAGCCCCATCAATAAGTTGGAACATAAATTATTAACAGGCGCAAGCTACTAAGCCGATGAATTTCTGATTTTTTAACGCGTAATGTAAATATGATGGAAGCACATTTTTATATTTTATGCTGGAATACTATATCTATTTGAATGTAACAAAGTATGATTCGGAATGTAAATATTATCTTCTTATTATTGCTTCTGTCCTTTCGACAAGTCTACATTTCACGCTATTAAAAATTTACTCCGCTTTCATCTCGTCGCATCAATGAGTTCCGTCTCAAATTTGTCCGCGGATCAACTTTCCAAGGGTTTCGAACCCGCGGTAGAAGGGATGTTATCGGGGGTTGTGCCAAAATCGCCTTTACGCTACATCGAGCAGAAATCGCCGAGGCGCATTATAAAAAAGGAATTGTTCGAAAATCTCGACCGTAATTCACTTCACCTCGCTTCGCGGACCTTTTATAGCACGCCGTGGCGCGCTGTATTAAGCAGAGCTTTCCGCGCTCCCGCGTAAAACGCAACAACTCCAGTTAAGCTTGTTTCCTCGTGGAGATACCGAGCGATTTATACCTCGGGGAGCGCATGTGAAACGACTGATAGATATTACGTGGGCGTAATATCTATCAGTCGTTTTACATACGCTTGCAATCCGAAACAATGACCGACAGGCGTTAGGAGGAATTTCTCGTTTCTTTTTGAATCCGTCATGTTATAAACTAACTCGAGCAGCATATGTATCTGCTAAAATCATGGCTAGTTTTATGATCATCCCGGCTCTTTATTCATATTTTGTGGAAAATATCCCAAGCTGTTATCTAGTCGTGAGCTACTTCAATTTATATTTCAGTTTCGAGTTAGAAAAAAAAATGATTGGCTTTCTCTCACACTTTTTTCCATATTTCACGAATTTTATTTTTAAATTAAATCTATAAATTACAACTGTTTTGATTTCCGTGAAGGTTTTTCAGAATTTCGTTGATAAATAAATAATTTACCAGCTCGTTATTGTAAACAATAGTCAAGATAAGAGGCCAAAGAGCGATATACAGGTGTCAGTTAATATTTAATATAACTATGTGATTGTTACATACTCTAGCTTCAACGAACTGCGAACCGTTACTATCGAATTCAGCAGTTCGTTGAAGCTAAAGCATGTAAAATTACATAGTTATATTAAGTATTAACTGACACCTGTATTTCGCTGGTCTTTGGCCTCTTATCCTGACTATTCGTTGATAAAGTTTCTAGCTCTTTTCCAAAAAGAACTAGAAATTTAAATAATTTCACAAAATTGGTATATATTATTTCAAATCTCTTTTTCATCGATACTAATCTTTATTTGTCTTCCTGCATTCACATATTAAATTTATATACTTTTCTATTTAATTTCATTTATTTTCACGATCATTTACTTCTTTTGGACATTATTAAAGCATAGAAATACGAAAAACGACGGTTAAAGTTACGAGTAATTAACGTTATTGAAATTGAGTTTTAAAGTTGAGTTATATATTTTGCATCTTTCAGGTCCGCGGATGAATGCGAAGAGGAGGGTAAAGCTGAGGAGAGATCCAGTTATGGATAAAGGGCACAGAAGTGAGTATATATAATTAGATGACACTAATTACTACTGATTGGAAGCACCTTCGATGTGCTTGAAACTTGAGATTCGAGGAGTGTCTGAATTCGCTCTACAAACTTCTATCGATCGGTCGCAATTTCTCCTCGGCGCTGATATCGCTGATTTATATCGCTGACACTTATTATTATCACGCGAACGATGATAATAGTATTTTATATCATCTCTACGGTCTTGAATATCGACTTTTCGTTGTAACTGAGTTATATTAAAATTTTTGATGTTATTGTACGCATTAATGTAATGTGCAAGCGTTGGAATTTCAAATAAATCATACTACTTTCTTTCTATATTTGCCAATCGACGTACTTTAAGAAACACATTAATTAAAATTAAAAGACTTTCTTTAGTATGTGTTAAAGATAAAAATTTCGTAAAGTGTGCCTTTTCTAATATAAAAAAATCAATTAAAATAGTTAAAATAATTAATTAAAATTAAAATTAAATAATTGCTATAATAATTTCAATAATTAAAATTAATTAATTGAATGTTCATTTTATATAATTTATAATTTTATTCTGAGTAGTGTATCTGCCATTATATTAGAAATAATTTTTTTTACCTAATAATTTGTATTATCCGTTCTCATCTTTATAATGATATCATCATTTTACTTTTAAAAATACCTACTTGAGAAGAAATTCAAATAAAAAAAAAATTATAAAAAATTTAACAAAAATTTCAAGATCGAGAGATTATATGACACGATACACATCTAAATGTCAAGGGCAACTTGCTCGCAGCAGAGCGAAAGCCGAAGAGTTTTATCTGACAATAGGCAATTATAATAGGAACAATGAGACGTTTCTCGAAAAGGCGACGGCCATAGTATGCAGAATAATACGCTCGCTAAAGGAGTGCAACAGGTTCGGCAAGCCTGGTGTGATGGTAATCGAGAGATTAACGAATCGCGAGGTACTTTGATAGGATCCGAGTTAATCAGTAACCGGGGCTGCGACACCATTAATCTTTCACCACTCTCCGCGGAACTCCATCTCTCTTTGTCATCCTTTCACGCGCCACTTCCTCTTTGGCTATTCTCTCTCTCTCTCTCTCTCTCTCTCTCTCTCTCTCTCTCTCTCTGACTTACGCTTTGTGTCTACCCTCCTCATCCGTTGTTATTTGACACCTCGGTCTTTTAGACCCTTTATGCCTATTCCACTGGGACGTTCCATATCGCTCGCATTTACATCTCCAATGTGCGCGCGCGCGCGCACGTTTCGTGTGGGTGTATGTGTGAATTATTTTCATTTCTATCTCTACGTACATTGCATAGACGATATTTATTTCAAGAATTAAATCCAATATTACATCGTGCGCTTTTGATTAAGGGGGATTGGTTTCACCTTTGCTGGCCGTAAAATTAGCCCCTGTTTTATGAATTTTTTTAAGGAAATCTATATACAGTAAATCGCGGATTTTTGCATAAACTTATATATTATTTAAACAGTAAAAGAAGTATTTTTTATTTATATAAAAATGTATTTTAATGCCTCCAAGTGGTGATTGAATGTGGCATGTTTTTCGAGCTGACGGAAGTAATTATACGAAAAAACGAATTGAGATATTGACTTAATTATTTTTTCCTCTTAATCCTAATACTTTAACGCATGGAGTGAACTAAAATGATGTCAATTGCCTGAAATTTGTAAAAATGGTAGCATTTGAAAAAAAATGTTTTGCCCTAAAAATTTTTTAAATTTTTATTAATAACAAATTGAATGTTTGTTGTAAAATTATGATTTTAGTTTACGCCATGCGTTAAAGTATTACGACCAAGAGGAAAAAAGAATCTTAATTCGTTTTTTCGTATAATTACTTTCGTCAGCTCGAAAAACATGCCACATTAAATCGCCACTTGGAGGCATTAAAATACATTTTTATATAAATAAAAAAATATTTTTTTTGTTGTTCAAATAATACATAAGTTTATGCAAAAACCCGCGATTTACTGTATATAATAGATTTCCTTAAAAAATTCATGAAACAAGGGCTAATTTTACGGCCGGCAAAAGTAAAACCCCCCTTTATAAAAAGAAAAGACTAAAATCTAGATTTCGAGAAGTTTTATAATACTGCTACATTACTGCGTCATTTGCTTCGACTTATCGTTACGCGCATATCATCTCAATCTCGTATCATACTATACGACGGATTTGTCAATGTTGGTGCCTCCACATCACACGGAGGCTGTCGATGCAGCCAACCGTTGCTCTAAATGGGTGACGGCTTACAGTTATATCAACCGTTATGTAATAGCTACTGCTACGGCGTGCAGCATATGCGTTAGGTAAATAGCCAGGTAAATGAGCGGAGATGAGAGAGAGAGAGAGAGAGAGAGAGAGAGAGAGAGGCAGCAACAGCTCTAAGCCTGCGCCCGACGAGTAGGCGTGCGATTGACGTTTAATTATTCGTTGCGCATTCAGACGCTTCGTTTCCTCCATAACGCGCGTCCGAGTTCTCGTCTCGTTTCTCGGTTATGACACAGCGACGCGGCAAGGGTTACGCGGAGAAATTTACCGATTATGTTTCCGCGAGCGCAATTAGAACGAACGCAGAGATGTTGTTCGAGACGATTGAAATTTCAACCATGAAAATTACAGAGAGATTAATATATATTCGATAGTCAATTGAATCAATTGTTATTAAATTCGAGAGAGTCAGGCAAAGATCTGTTGATAAATCATACGCTTAATTATAATTAGATCGAGATTGAGTCTTGTGGCCGTTTCAAAATAGTAATTTGAATCGATTTGTGGTTCGTCTTGTATTTACACGTAACTCGTCAGCCTCGCGAATTTCGCATCGTTATATACAATTACCGCGGGCGCTGTAATCAAATATTAATATGCACGCTAATATTTAGAACAATTAATGCATTTATTTAATAACACAAAATTTCCCGACCGTGACGAACGCTTCGTCACCGTAGTGAATTCACGAGCGATTCCAGTTTCGTCGTTGCAGCTCGTTCAATATCGCGAAACTGCGAATTGTAATTACACGCGTGTGTATTTGCTCGTATTGCTCGTTCAAAATGGGTAAACAGGCGATTTTTTTAAATTTTATTTCATGATAAACATTGATATTAACAAGTTTGATATTAAGACGATATATTCAATCATTTATCGATATTAGACAGATTATCCAACGTTGAATCAACACTGATCAAATATGAGATTACTAATCAAATTCCACGCGAAACAACTGTTTTGTGATTTTCACCGTTGCTGAGTTTTGTACGTTATTACATAACGATTACTTATGGCATTTATGCAAACAAAACCAATTCTATTTTTGGTTGACTCGTAACAGATAACTTCAATTCAAAGCTAATATGATTATTTATTACGTGAAATAGAATTTTTTCATTTTTATATTCATTGTTATTTAATAATGTTATTTAATAATGTATACAAAGACGTTTCTAAAACTTTTAAATCAATTTTATTATTTGATTCGATAGATGTGCTCCGTTTTTACGAACCATATAATTATACAATATAATTTGTTGCACTTATATAAATTTGTAAAAACAAAGCTTTTGCCGATCGGCTGAAATTTGACAAATGTCCCCCTTTTTGATGCCATAATATACAATGTTTTGTCTTTACGCATGGAACAACACCTACCAATCACGGCATTACCAGCAACTAATCTGTTATAATCACACAGAAAGCGCAATAACGATGGTACCACTTCGCAATTCGTGCAATTCGAAGGGAAAGCCATTAAACGCGACGATACGTAATACACGGACGTAACTGGATACAATTGTAATTCCAGGCCGCGATTTCGCAATGACAGCTTTTCCACGAATGATGACAAGGCAATATCGCGAAGGATAAACATATAATATCCGTATTTGTGCAATCGCTGTCTCTACAATTGAATTAATCAGAAAATAAAGCGATCAAAAAGTCCCATAAATTATCGAATTAGTTATGGAATTATTAAACTGTCATGCGTTCATTTGATATTTATAATTATAGAATTAAGAAAGTGCGACCGATAAAGAGAGACTATCTTAAAAATTATGTATCCCTGTTCGTTTAATTTTCAAACTGAAAAATCGAATCAATATATTGAGATAAAAAGAATTGAACGGGGGCAAAAATCGCCTACGCAAAAGTGCAGGTCTCCGCAAAAAACGTTTCTATCTCTTTAAACTACAGTGGAACTCGACAAACAGACATTCAACGAAAACCGCAAATATGAAGAGCCATAGATTCGAACGTTCCATAAATAGTGAACGGTGTAGCGCGTGAGAAAGACCTGTCGCCGCCACCGCGCACGAAGCCAAATTGCAGCCGCCGACATTTGCACACATCTATCCGCGGATAATAGCTTTTCGTGCGAATCACAGGACACCACGGGGACGCAGCTGTGCTCGGAGCCTGAAGGTGTGCCGATATGCGGCGCGATCGATCGTCTCTCTCTCTCTCTCTCCCCCCCCCCTCTCTCTTTCTCTCTCTCGCCGCGGCTGGCTCAATAGAGACGCGTTAACGCAAACGGACATGTCTCGTGTATTTTGCAAGTCCGTTTGTAAACCGCTCGGCTTCACCGCATACGTGTCGATCAACTCCCCCGTGTTGTCTTGCCGATCTCCGTGCCTGCTGCAGGCAGACATTATGAAATCGAATTCGTGCGCGAGATAAAACGGAAGTTCCTAAATAGAAAATGACTATAATCTCATAATCAGACGTTCATAATCCCTGAATTATATATAAATAATTGATAAATCTATGCGATTATATTTTAAGGATATAAAGTAGATAATGGGAGCTTGTCTACTTTTTAATCTCCGAAAAATTTCTGTTATGATGTATTCAATTAAAAGACATGCATATAACCGGAAGAAAATCAATGAATTTTATATAAAGCTGTATATTTTTGCCGATTAATCTTGCATGAAAGGTCGCAAGAGAATATTTTTATAGGTAACAATCGATACGA